TTCATTTCACTTTAAAACACTTAAACATACAGCCTGCTCTTCGATTACCTACTTTAATGCACTACGTAGCTGTGTCGATAGTATTTACGGACGCGGTTTCCGGTTATATTATATAGAATTAAAGTGTGTTTACAAATGCCTTTTCGTACAGTTTTAAAACTTAACATACTGATTAATGATATTCATAAATTACAATGTTTAAAAAATAAAGAACCTACAAGTTTCGTAAATTTGTGACACCGTTGTGATAAATACAATTAGATTGTTTGTTTGTCTGTCTGATATTAAGTGAAGGTTCATTGGTATTATGTATAAAGCTGCCAAATGAGGTTAAAAGATAAATGTATGGATTGAGCTTTTGCGATTTGAAAAATTTGATGATGATGAGATTGAAAAATTGCTTATTTAGAGCCAAACATAAATATACAGAATCGCCTCAAAGGGTTCTTAAATTTGTACCTTTAAAATGAGATTTAATTCACGCATTTCTGTAAGAAGTGCAGAATGAATAAGCTAGTTTTTCAATCGGTTCGATTAGTTTACGTTTCATGCACCTATGACTGTTTAGATGGTTGTAATGAAGCTAAAGAAATTTTGAAGAAATATATTTAAAAACTGCCAAATAATAAACTGAGTAATAAATAAGTATAGTTCGATTGATAAGCCATTGTTAGAATTTAAAAAGAAAACATATTTTTAATCCATGCGTAAGACATTTTCTTTGATTATTTTTGGTTATAAAATATTACTATATTACGTATAACTTATTAGGTTTTATTACTAAAAGAATTTACAGTTACAATGTACAGACCTTAAACTAAGTGAGCGTTCAAATCGATCGTTATAACGCGTTTCCTTACTAACAAACATATGTTTTTCAGTTTTTTGTAATTACACTGTAGCTACCTTTTAATTAGGGTTAATTTTATAAGTAGGGTGTAAAATTCGTTAGTAAGAAATTTCGCCATAACAAATAGTGTATCTGAGGATCCGATCGGAAAGTTAAGCTTTATTTATTATTAATCATAAATAGCACTAAGTTTTAGTTATAATAGATTTAAAAAAAGAATAGCAATCATAAGTGTTTTAGTTACACAAATGTTTGTAATTTATACTGAATAACATTTTTAGATTTGGACAGTTAGCATCAACTGCCTGCCCAATAAATACCCATTTATAAAAACTGATATCTTGACAGTTTTCTGCTTAGAATGCACTACATTTTTAAATCTAAGTTTTTGTATTCGACATTTGCATCGATATATTATTAATATTTATAAATACATTAATAGTTAACCATGTTACATATAATGACATACACACATTAACTATGATTATGTCTAACCAACATTCAAGAAATTCCTATAACAATTTAATTATTTATTCAAATTAAACAATATCAAATGTCAGTAGCTTTAAAACTTAAATTTTTTGAGTTGAGCATGTAAAATAAAATAAAACATTAAATAACATTAAACGCTGAAAATGGCACAAAAGTTTACACAAGAAAAAAAACATCAATTAGTTAAATGTATATTCGTTTCGTTGCACAACCTATAGAAAGAAATATTACAAATATAATTGCATAAAAATGACGAGATTAGAATAAAAGTAACTTAAAACTATACCATACGCGATATTAATTTCAAATCTAATGTTTAAAATTAGTGCCTAATATTAGATGATTTCGAATATAACTAGAATTAGTTTTATGAAAAACAATAATTATGTGTGTTAAGGCCATATTAATCTCCCAAATGTATTAAGATAGAATTAAAATAATCAGGTAGGCACATAAAAAACTTTTTAAATATTACATACATGATTCATATATTCAATTGCGTGATACGGCCTGAGACCTTTTGATATTAAGCATTTACACAATATGTAGGTAGTTATAATTCTATTTAATATTCGAATTTGGACTTCAATAGTAGCTGCCTCCATGTAATCTCTATTTCTGTTTCACATACTAATTCAAATAAATAAAAAAGCCTTTGTGAGGGTGAAAACGTTAGGTTTCCGATTACGTTTTCCATGTTCAGGCACGCAAATGCATGCATTTCATAGAAAAGTTCTGATTCTATACGCTGCACACGCTGGTAAAATTTCTGGATTGACGAAAATCTTGACATTTATTTCAGAAAGCAGGTTTCTCGCTTCGTGCGAAATTACGAATGTAAAAAACTGTGTTTTTTAGTTTTTATATATTTGTATAATAGTGCAATAAACTAAAAAAAAGTCTAACAATATGGAATATAAATCAGTTTTATTCGATATTATTTGTTTTATATTAACCTGCTTTTCTTTACATAGCTATGTACATATTAGTGCGGTATAAAAATAATAAACGAGATTTCATGAGAGCGGGTAGCGTGAGCTTAATCATGTCGACATTAAAGCGCATATTCACGTTCGAGGTGTGCAATAAACACTCCTCTATATATGTATTTTAGTTTATGTAAATGTGATTTATATAATATGCTTGGTAAATTTTTTCTTGCCAAATGAAAAAAAATTCAATGATAAGGTATTTCACCATACAATGTGAATAATTTAACTGTCGCCCAATACGTAATACGTAAATATAAACAGTATTTATTAATGGAATTCATTAGACTTTTTTAAACATTTGCTATTATATAAACAAAAGTAGCAGTAGTTCCTGTGCTTGTAAAATGATACTGAAGGAGTTAAGGATTAATAAGGTAGGGTGCGATGTATCCTGGCTGTTTAAAACATTAAGGCCAAATAGTCAACGCTACTCAATTTTAAGATGTCGTTAAGTCTCATGGTGTCACAGTCACTTTGACTTAAAGTAATAACTTAAGAGCGTTTCCAAACTATCCGATCCGATACCGGTATCTGACTCCGATACGATATCGGGGCAAGTAAAATGTACGAAATATGTACCCGTCTTCCACATTATCCGATCCGATATCGGATATCGGAGCCGACACCGATATGTTACCGGCTCTATCGGATGCCCGTGAACCGTCGGACAATAATATTTGTATGTGTGCTATACGTGTATCTAAATTGTTTCTATGTGCGTAGAGACCGATGCGCGGCGGCCATTTTGAGTTTGTTTACTAATTTGGTTGTCATCATGGTGTCGTCATCATTAAATACGATATAATTACATTAATTGAACTGGTAGAATCCATATATACAGAATATAAAGTCTTCTATTATAGTCTACCATGAGGACCCGCCCGTACAATGCTGTCGAGCAAATGGCCGTATCGGAACGATATTGTCGGAAATATGTGAAAACAGCACATGGTGACAGCTGCTCGGATATTGGCTATTGGAGTCCAACACCGATATCGGATCGGATAATCTGAAAACGCTCTAACGCCATCTTAAAATTAGGCAGAATTTGAGTATTTGGACATTAATGCCTGCTTTGAAGTAAGCGCTTAGCGCCGTGCAAATTTACGGCAACGTTTTCTGGCGCTTCTGCTCAAGTACAGTCGAGTTCATAGTTATTATTGTTTGTTAATATTTTGTTAATATATTTATATTTCTGTTGATCGTTATTCGTGATTTTTAACAAAACACATTTGGACTCTAGATATGTAACGTACAGCTACAGATGGAAAGTAATTTATTGATATAAATCAGCTTTTGTATAAAATACAAATTCCACAGCTCTTTTATAACAAAAACATGCAGCCAATAACGGATTTGCTTTCTATATTAGTATATTTAGTGTATTACGAAAGCAAAGGTTATTGTCAACATAACTGTACCCCCGTGAAGACGCAATCGTAGTGAATTTTACAGCCACTATTATGTTTCAATCCTCAAATAACGAATGTTTGTTCATACTCTGTTATCGTGTATGTTAATATATTATTCATAAAATAACATTTATAATCTATTGCATGTATGCTGGATTGCTATCTATCTAAAAAAGCAGACATAATTGAACGTAGTTTAGAAGAGAAATAGTTTTGAGAATATCTTTTTACGCAATTTATACAGATTCTGAGAGGATATACGTGGTAATGTTTACAAGGTTATTTTTTACTGTAGTTCAAAAACTGCTACAAAATTTAAAAAAATGAGAGGATGCCTACGCCCAGACGTGGGACATATTTTTTCTGTTATTTTATTATCTCTGTCTCTATCTCTTGATCTCTCACTTTTATGTATTATTTCATTTCTTCTATATTTCAATTAGAATTGAAAGGTTTCTGCTAAACTGCGTCCATTTAGGGATTGATGGCTAAATATTTATTGATATTAATTTTCTGACAGCGCACTAGTGTACTAGCACCTTAACTTAGTGTTTTACGATATATTGTAACACGACATATTGGTTTACATTACACAGGTGATATAATTAATGCACATTCAGTATATATACACAGTGAATGGATATGAACTTACCATAGAACAATCTAATGTACGTGTCTATTGAAAAGTATAATTCTACCGCATTAGCAATGTACAGTTAAAGAAAGCGGATGGCACATTTATGCTTACAGGTATAAGATCCTTGATTTAGATTCAACTATAGAGTAACTCCAACAACATTTAAACGTTGGTCTCAAAGTTAAAATTATGTGAACGGACATCAAGATGAACTTAGAATAATCAATTTATTCTCGATCGATATTGGGCCATCAAGACAGTGATACAAAACTTTGTCGTAATTTCATAATTAAATTCAGAATTATTGATCCACTCACTATACTTTCTAAGCCCTGATATTACAAACAAATGTACTTGGTTTGTACAGTTTATTGTACAATCCGTACCCAAAATGGTATGTAAAAAAAAATTACTAATTCGTAAATTAAATTGATTTGTGGGAGACGATCGTAGAACAACTTTTTGCCACGGTTGCAAAATAAAACCCGTTCAATGGCGCGCTCCTATTGAAATATGTTATAATTTGAGGGCGATTTTTTCCGTGGTCACAGATAATGAATGTTGTGTTTAATCTGTGGCTATTAATAAACACGTGGCGTGGATTGTTCTGCGTCGTCTCACGCATAGAACTCGCGGTTGTTGTGACCCTTCCCGTACGAGGCGGCGGCGGGGCTCCGCTTGGGCTCGTCGAGCGCATACGAGCCCTCGTCCTTCTTGCGCATGCGGTACACAATGAACATCACCACCAGGATCGCACACAGAAGCCCTACGACTGCTCCACCGATGACAGCTGGAATAAGAATACAAATATGTTAAAGTTAAAGTAAAGTAAAGTTACAGCCTATATACGTCCCACTGCTGGCCACAGGCCTCCCCTCATTTCTGAGAGGGTTTTTAGAGCAAGGAAGTGTCCGCCACGCTGCCCCAATGCGTGTTGGCGAACTTCACATGTCTTCGAAATATTTTTTTCTTATTCCTCAGACATGCAGGTTTCCTCACGATGTTTTCCTTCACCGCCGAGCACGTGGTTATGTTAGGCAAAGATGTATAGGACATAACTGAATATCGAATAAATAAAAAATAATGTTTGTTTGTTCGTATTTTACGCGCTGCCGCCATACCGTTCATAGATTGCGCTAAAACTTTGTCAACTTATTGCTTGCACTTAAGGTTATAGGCATAGTAAATTAAACTTAAAGTCAGTGGCGCGCGTGTTGAACCGACAAATTTATTTGAAAATTATAATAATATATCATTCAACTTCAATAAATGTATTGTTACGAGCTTAGTCACCAATTCAATACCGGTCCGGTCGCGGTCCTTAACGCCTTATAGGGCCTTTCCTACTGAAAACATCTAGAATGTTCGAGTAGAAAGGCGAAAGTTCTCCTAGTTCTGCTACTCATACTAGATGGCGCTAGTGATATATACCAGGCATCAACTACGGCGCGCAACAGTATTATCATTCCTAATTAAACAGTATAAGTCTTACAAATTTAAAACGCTATTTCCATACTTATTTATTCTGCGGCAGCTTACGCGCAATATTTATAGATTTTTAACGGAGGACCAACGACTTCCCGTGCTTTCCGAAGCATGGGGGTAAAACACCGCCAATTTTCTAACTTCGGGCTGTTACAGAGAATTTCATGACAGAAAATCTCAATAACTTATAATTTTGTTTTTGGTCCCGGGATTTGAACCCAGGAACTCATGACCAGCAACCACATTTAAGACCCCTACACTAACGAGGCAATCAAGGCTTTTTGTCAAGTGAGCTTTCCGGGCAGTACATATTGCAAGAAAGCTATGCTCGTGAATGATCGAGCCAGGCTCCATTGGGACTTTCCCCGGCCCTCATCAGTCATCACATTCAGAAATATTTTTGCAAATAAGCCTTATATATTTTTGGTGGATCAGGTACAGTCAAGGATATATTTGGTCAACAATTTCACTCCGTATAATGAGGACCTCGTGAAAGCCGAAACAGATAATGGACTTGGCTCACGAGGTGACCAACATGTGGGGTGGTATGCCGACCGAAATTATTCCTGTAGTTGTTTCTGCAACCGAGGTAAGCCCAGCCTTCGAGCTAGCACGGCTCCCTGAGCTACCATAATTTAAAACAATAGAGAAGATGGTTGGGTGCTACCATCTGCTTGGGATCCTATAATTAACAAAATTAAACCCAAACCCAAGAATACCACTGCAAGATTTCATGATACTATAAGCTCGTTTTGCGTAAATCTGACCAAAAATTGCTGTAATATTAAAAAAACTGAAGGTAGCCGGACTAACTATGACATTGGGACGTCAAACATCTCAGTCCCCCCCGTGACCATGGGTGCTGTAAAGCACCCGAAACGTCGGGATAATAATAAAAATAAATTAAAGTAATTAAACGTTTTAATCTTAGTGAAAGAGATTTTTTTCTAAATTCTGTTGTAAAAGCTTAAGCTGTTTACTCCCATGAATGTCGCGCTGTTTCTTGATGGTTCTTCCCAAGACAGAGGTATTTTTCAAACCAGTGGTAATTTAAACGTTAATTTATATAAAATGACTTTCAGTATGCATTATCAATATTTATATTAAATAATTATCAATAATTAATAATAATAATAATTGTTTGTGTTATTCAGCCCAACCTGATGAGAATACTCTATGAATACCCCAAAATATTTTTTTAAAGAATATTAACAATGCTATAAACATTACTGATATTCCCCTTAACCACTCGGAGTCAGCTTAAATTGCTTGTGTTAAGAGTGGTTCACGCCAGTAGTCGAATGGCGGATTTGAACCCACGACCATTTTGAGTTCGCGCCCTGCCATTAGGGCACTGTCGCTTCAGCTTCATATTATTTATTGTTTCTCACATAACTTACACAAACACAAATCTTATTGAAGCTCTTACGGCCGTGATAGTTGAAAACAGTGTTACAGGTTATAGATTTCTAATTCTAATAAATTACTAACACTCACTGAATACCAGCGTAAAATAGCAGCTTAATGCTGCTGTGTTTTCTATGGTGAGTGTAGAGAACCGGAGACCCTTTTTACTGGATACGAGGCATTCCATCTTAGTCCTCAGGGTTGACGACGTACCTGCATTTTGATTCTTAATCGAGGATAAATGTAGATGTGGCTTTAGAAGCTTGTGTCTATTTCTAATATTTATAGAAAAAAATTCTTCTTATCGGTACATACCTGCGAGGATGCCAGGCTGAGCGAAAAAGCTTGTAGCGCGGTCCTCAGGTTTCGCGTTCATGATGAAGACGCCGGTGTCGGCTGGTCGCGCTTCGGTATCGATGTGCGTTCCCGACTGCTCCTGGTCCTGCAGAAATGCGCGGACTCAATATGACAATAAGAAGTAGTAATTACCATGACTTTTCGTGGTACCTAGAGTTATGCTCCAACTGTATTATGGTTGTAGTACGAATGGATACAAGCCATTCCATCTTAGTCCTCAGGGGTGACAAACAATGCATCACCATTTTGTATTGTAATGGAGGATAAATGTAGTAATAGGCATTCTATGGGCCTCAGAAGCAACTTACCATTAGGTGGACTGGTGCTCGTTTATAACTAGGATTGTCATCTTTTTTGAAAAATTTTCCCAAAAAAGATGCAAAAATATAGTAATTTTGAGAACTTCAGGAAAAAACTACACATTTATTTTAATCTTTATGTATTTTGCCTTATAATATATTTGTTATTGCACTGTGGCCATCAATGATTTACTACCTTTAAAATGATTTATAGGCATAGTTATATTTTATATCAAAATAAATGAATTAATTTTGTATTAGATTTATACTTGCTCTATTTCTTTCTTCTTTCTATTTTACATTCATGATGGAAAAAATATTTCTTACTTACTTGTTTCAGAATTACAATCACAGTTAATATAAAAAAGTGCGACATTTAAATTAGAGATATAGTATTTTTGTATTATATTATTTTTCTATAATTATAGTACAATTGAGTGAAATATAGTACGATACTATGTGTCTATATATTATAGTAGGGGTGGCAAACCTATTTGTAACCGTAATTCTATAAAAAAATTCATAACCTTGGTAACGTCGATTAACGATAAAATTCTATTCCATTAGCCCATAAAAGTCTGTGGCCGTAGAAGGAAAAGGGGAGATCTCCCGCCGGGCAAGGTTTTCTGTCCGGGGAGCGGCCAACGCTCCGTGTTATAGTTCGGAGATGTTCTATATATACTATTTATGATTCGGAATTTTGATAGCGGATTTAGGCTTCGGTGTGTTTCGCTTGTGGCGCGACGATAGCGCCGCCACAAGTCCACAGTTGTATGTGATGCTCTCACGTTGTAGACTTGTCTTAATCAGGCAAGGGGATTGACGATTGTGGTACCAAATTTCCCATAACTTTGATGCGCTGCCCGTTGTCAGTCTGGGTATTTTGCATTTGGTGTGAACAAAATAGTAGACCACCATCTATCGGAAGCCAATCTTTTTTCTGGTTTTTCCCATAGTTGTCTCTTACGACACCCAAGTACGATACGATAGAATTACTTACTATTTCACAATATATACTGACTGAAAATTATCTGCTATACATCGGCGTCTGTCAATGAATTCATCATTCTATTTCATTCTAAGTAGATGACGTTTGAGACCACAATTAGAAACATAAGAAAGATTCCATAGGGTATTAATGACAGTATTGTATATAGATACGCAAAAAGAATCTAACCCACTTTCCTTTTAAAAATGATTTAAAATTGTATACGCGAAAATAATCTTTATCGCTTGTGTCTTTAATAACATTAATAAAGTTTGAAAAAAAATTAAAAAACTGTAATTGGTCATACACTGCGAAGATCTTAGTGAGAGTAATTGATTATAGACATGACTTTCTTTTAGTGACATCAGTTCTTAACTCTGCAAAATTCATCAGATTTTTCAGACGTATGGAAGTGGTCTAAAATACATACGTAGAATGTAGAGATCGAGTCATAAAGATCAACTAAGTATTTACACCAATTTTAATTAACGTTTCAAACTCTTTTTTTAAATTAGTTTCCCAACAATAACAAAAAATACGTGTGGCACTCGGTGACTGCCGCGGTAAAGCTATTGCATAGCATTTTTTATCAACTTATGCAATTATAATTATTTATTTATTTTATTTATGCAGTTAAGTCTTTGATATTAAATCAAGTTACACTTCTTGAGCGTGGTGACCGATAAGAAAACAATTTTTTTTCTCTTGTTGAATAAATGAGAAGTTAATATTGTTTAAAATATTTTAATATCTTACAATACATGTAGGTTATTCAGGAATTTTTATCATTGAGTTAGCAGCTAGTGTACACGCATACGTCTAGTCGCACGCACACAAACACCGTGCCGAAGTCTGCCGAGTGCCGAAGTCTGCCGAACTGAAACGACGTTAGATGCACGGTTTTCAACGCCACACATCCGTGCCCGTCGGAGTGGGGAGCGTGAGGTTTTTTTCGTTGCGGAATTTCTGGATTCGGTCCCCGCGCTCAAGACCCGCGATAGAAGCTATGCAATAGCTTAAAATTTCCTTTATATTATTTGTGATGATTTGATACGAAATACTAACGATGTCCGGACTGAGGTCTTCCCCTGATATGCTGATGTCGGTCAGATCTGGGCGCGAGGGTTGCTCCTCCCCCGCGCCGCGCGTCTCTCCAGTGCCCTCTCCTGCTTCCTGACCTTTGAGGACGCGAGCTGTAATTGTATAAAAACAACAGATTAGCGCTGATAAATAGACGGCTTTGGTTAGAAATACTTGCAATTTATTAAAGGTTTCAAACAGGTGCTAAGTTTTTTTATCTTGTATGTGGTAATTAATATAGATATTTATTAAATGAAAAAGAGTATTTATGTCTTAGAACAATTAGTTGGAAAGAAATGTTAAATTAAAACTCATTAAAAAAATATTTAGTATTAGTATTTCGACGACGAAGACTAATAACTACGAATTTTTAGGATTGTAGTTATAATTTAGTTTCGGAATATTGTTAGGGATAGTTGGATTATAATGACACTAAATCAAAAAATAAAAAGAACGAATAAACTATACTAGGAAATACATTGACGGAAGTACATTTACTATGACAAAGCTAATGTAATGATATCAAAAGTATAGCTCGGCTTAAATTCATGCTAGGTTGGTAATTACTATGAATAATGATAGAAGTAAACAAATGGAATAGGGGTAGCTATTGGCATGATCGTACTTGTAATCGGGTCATGCAAGTCTAAAGAAAACCCATGAAGTATTTGTACGGAATATGAACTGTCTTAACTTACCGAATTCCTCCGGCGATGTCGATTACATACATATAAGAATTTGTTGAACAAATAAGCAGAATTAAATTTAATATATTATCAAATTTCTATTGATTTGTTTCCGTCACATCCACTTTATTACACGCTTATAAGGAAACTAAGGTGTGGATTTACGGAATATAATTAAAGTTGCTTGTTGATTCATGGTGGATAAATATTAAGGTTAATTTGGTATTACATCATCAGCAAGCATTGTTTGTAATGCGGCTTGCCATATTTCACACAATTATTCGTTAATAATGCAATTTAATTGGCGGTTCGAACAGCGCAGTGGCTGAGCGTTTGGCCGCGGGTAGCGTTGCCAGGCGTCCGGATAAAGCCGGACACAGTCAGGTTTTTTGGTTGCGTGTCCGGCCAAATTAGACGGCGTCCGTCCTGTCAGGCTTTTGTTAGGCTTTTTATATTTGTCCATTTTGTTTTTATGTACTTACATACTATAACAATTATTAAAATTAATGTTGTAATTAATGTTAAATGATTAATAATAATGAAGACTGGTTCATTTAAGTTTATTGTTATTTCATTAGAATTTAAGAAGATTTTATGATAAATGGTAAAAGCATTGCTTTTCTTAAAAAATATCGTGTTATACTAAGACTGAAAGATTAAGCATGTCCGGCCTTTTTACCAAAACGTCCGGCTAAACTAGCTGTCTGTCCGCCTTTCGGTTTTAAGACCTGGAAACCCTAGCCGCGGGTACAATTCCGTTCTATGAGAGCTGACAATCTTCGGTCAATGTCGCTGGTTGTGACCAAGTTGAAGTTGTTTGTGATACAGTCCACGTCTTTGAAAAGTTGCGTTTCAAATAAAAGTTTTTCGATTTCTACTAATTGTCAATGTACACTAAACAATGCCTCAGTGGTCTCAGGTAAAAGAAATTACACATTTATGCATAATTTTTTTTCAAATATTTATAATTTAAATTTGTATGGCTTGGCTATATATGAGTAGTTTGGTTTATCTGTTATCTGATTGTAATAATTAATTAATTTTAAAGATAAAATGTTATTTCCCGCCATAAAATCTGTCAAAAATTTTACCTTATTTTTAAGTGGCGCTACCCTCGTGGCAAAAAAAGTTGTGGCAGCTCTCATTGAGAGTAGCGCTTTAAAGATGCAATGAAAATGAAAAACGTAGAAGAAAGAAGATAAGAAATTTAATATTATTATTTAATACCTATATCTGATAATAAAGTGGTGAACACTAAACATTTCATTCGTAGCGTAGAATCTAAATTTTTTTTGTAATCCGTAAATACAGGTGCATTTTTCAAAGAGTAACCAAATTTTAAACTTAAGTTTAAATATATAAATAATTATATAACGTTATTGCAGTTTTTGAAAATAGGTATAAATAAGGCTTCTACTTTTATATGAAATTATCCCAAATTGAATGTGATTTATTGTAGAGTTTTTGCCTACCGATAGACCTTTACGAATGCGTGCGTGCGTAGTAAAATCAGTTAAAATAATTCATTACCACCCAGTTTGAATCTAAAAGATAAAAAGGACAGAATGTTTGAGATTTTATTAAATCAATTTTTCTTCGCCATTTGCCTATATTACTTATTCTGAACCTCTGCAAATTTGGCCGGTTATTGCAAAGTAACCCTGTATACTTGTTGTCTGTGTGAATCGAACCCGCGGCCCGCAGCGTGGAAATCTAACGCCACTACTGCGCTATTGAGCCGTCTATAGATAATAATTAAAGAATTGAGTTTTTGTCTCTAAATATCAAATTTTTTTATTGAATACTTGAAGATTTTAAGTCGCCATGTGTTAAATTCTCATCTTAATCTTCACCAAAATATAGCAGATAAACGGCTTATAAAAATAATGGATTCCTTAATTATATTAAGCTCAGCAAAATAAATTTTCAGTCGATTGATGTTCAATTATATGAACGCAACTGTCATAATTGAATCGTAGTGTGAAGAAATGATGCACCCATAAACTGGGCAAAATTTAAGCATGAAAGACTTCGGAAAAGTATCAACATCTAAATTAAATTTTCTTAAAAATGATTTACATAAATAACATGATATAATATGATACATTTATCTTTCAAATCTGAACAATATTATGTTTATCTGGATGGAAACATATCTGCACAACACGGTCCAATCGAAACAGCATTAGTTTAAATGTAATTTGGTAAGAATTAATTATGGGAATAACTCCATGAGAGTTATGCCCGCAGAACATGAAATCAGTGACTTGCAAATTATTTTCACACTCGTTTTCTATCAATGAATTTTTGTAGACTTATTCTTTAGTCTAAAATAAACTGCGTGTAAGCATAAAGGCTCACTAGTTCATGTTCCCAAAAAAAAAAAACATGTAATAATGTCTAATGCAACAAAACTGGCATGCTCCAGCCTCTACTCACGACTGACTAAATCGGGCTGCTGGACTTTTGGTGTTGGGATTGGATTGTTGGAGTCCGGTAAGACTGTGTTGTCTGGCATTTCCGGGACCTCCGGATAGTCTGATTCCGGAGCGGGCGTGGTAGGGGCGGCAGTGGTTCGCAACGGTGCGTAGTCTTCGTCATCTTCGGGTACGTCGGGGGCGTCACCTGATCCTCGACCGTCCTCGTCGTCGGGGCCTGGGCCTGGCCCCCAGCCGGAGCCCGAGCTCTCGTCGATGCCTAGACCCGAACCATCATCGTCGATGAAGACATCGCGGTCGGAGGCGAGGGGACCGTCGTGTTGGATGTGGACCGTGACCTCCGTCGGCTGCGCACTGGCAACACCGTCCTGGAATCGATACAGACAAAATACATGAAAATGTGTCTTTAAAACTTTTGGAAAATTTTGTTACTTGCAACCTTTGAAATATAAAATTCCAATTCCCATTCGACTTAAGTTTCAACTACATCATATCAGAACGATAAATTAGTTGAGTATAACATCAAACCGGAGTAGCTGACATAGCCATATAGCCCCCAATAAGGTGAAGGGTTTATGGGCTGACCTAGTAGTTTGATGACCGAAAACCGTTGGGGAAAATTAGATCTCGAGTGGCAGCCTTATACCTGTAAACAAAGTGAAAGGCTTCCCCCCACTAGATGAAGTTACGACCTGGTAAAACATACGAGAAGTCGATGAATGCAGATGGTTGAGGAATTTGTTTAGGGAAGCTTATGTTCAGCAGTGTACTTGTGACGCTGTGATGTTGATGATGGTGGTAATGATAACATCAAGTGCCTCTTTAAGTTTACATCAAGGTCTGAATAATCTACACATTTCACAGAATGGGTCAATAATGCCCACCAAGCATTATTAGAAAGATTTGTCTAAATTCATCACACTGGGCAAACGAGTTGATTTTTCTTGCATTTGATAATGTTGCTTACTTACACCCTGCTCTTTGGGTTCAATGTTTTTGGGTGGATTTTCACTATGAACTCATAGTGAAAAATCCATGATGTCCTGATTACCAACTAGTAATTATTAATATATATATATATATATATATATATATATATATATATATATATATATAGATATATTACTGATTCTATAATAGGTGGATCTATGCTGCTGTGTTTCGTATGGTGAGTGTAGAGAACCGGAGATCCTTTTTACTGGAAACGAGGCATTCCATCTTAGTCCTCACGGGTGACAACGCATCTGCATTTTGATTCGTAATCGAGGATAGATGTAGATGTCTATGGGCCACAGCCGCCACCTACCATCAGGTGGACTGTGTGTTCGTTTGTCACCCTATTATATTTAAAAAAAAAAAACTATTAAAATTAAAAATGTTTGTCTGTCTGTTTGGGCAAGTCTTCGGAATGGCTGAACCGATCGTGTGATCAAACTTTACCAACAAATAAAGAACAGTTCCAAAAGTAATCTTAGAGAATTTTTTTTGTCATATTGAAAAAATTATAAAACAAATGGTCTTTGATGATATCTAAGCCTGAATGACGTTACATTTATACATAAAATACGCAGCTATAAATTATCCTTACACCTCATGTTACTTATGGCTGCGTATACTATATATATATGAAAAACAAACGAAAAGCGTTAAGTTTAGCACGCAATCATCTAGACCGCGACCTATTTCCAGAATGTTCATAATGACGTCAATAACGCATCGCCCCTAAAATGTTTCGACTGCATCAAAATATAAATAACGGTACGTAATCACACGCCCATTCAATAGCATAGTAACGCTACTATAATAGAAAACAACGTGAACGCACAATAAATGATCAGATGGAAAACCGGGATTATGGCCACGTCATCATCAATGAAAACGTAGTTTGAATGGAAGAAAGATAAAAGGTCACTCACCTTTTTCTATTCTTGTTGACAACGGTTTTACACTGCGAGTTTAACGCGTGTTTATTTATCTAGCCAGATTTAACCAGAATCTGCAGATATTTTTAAATTTTCACAAATGTGGCAGTGTTCTTCGGTTAGCGTAAGTTGTTTAGTGCCTGTAAGGTCGATCGATAGGCTTTTAGAGGGGTAAGAATGAAGTGGTATGGAGGGGGGTGCAGACAGGAACTTTTCGTATTCCCGCAACCGCCAACAGATGCCGGGATGTAAGCCGTGGGAGGCTTTCGAGGGAAATGTTTTCTGTTTCATACAGAAGATAGCGCTTAATTCAGTGAGGTATCTCTTTCGCATGAAAAGTTATGTTTGAATCTAGATTCGTAAGTTAGCTGTAATGTTATTAATAAACCTTAAGTGTGGTAGGTAATGAAAAACAGTATTTGTTACATACAAATATTGCAATTAACTTAATAAAAAAAAATTACGAGGTAGAGCCACGTTGCAGCTATACTATAGTTTACCACGCTCTCACAGAATACCAGCGTAATGCTGCTGTGTTTGGTATAGTGAGTGTAGAGAACCAGCGACCCTTTTTATTGGAATTGAGGCATTCCGTCTTAGTCCGCAGGGGTGACGACGCATTTGCATGTTGATCCTTAGTTGAAAATAATTGTAGTTGTCTATGGGCCACAGCATTCACTTACCATCAGGTGGACTGGGTGCTCGTTTGTCACCTAATGCTATAAAGAACAATCTAAATAGTTATATTGCAATTCAAGTTGTAATACGAGTAGATATATTTATGCAAATCATAGATATACGTGTTGATTGAGAATAAATTCATTCAACCATAAATTCATTCATTTCATCCTATCAAAAGTCCACTTTTAAATATATTTTGCCATAATTGCCACACTTGGTAAGCAACGGCTTCGATTAGCAACCGCATTTTTTTATTTTCAGTTGTTATGAGGTAGATGATGAAATGAATGATTTTTATTCAATATAGATTATTGTATAATACTTATTGAAAGTCAGTTTTTTATTTACCACTTGTCTTGTGTTGGCAGAGAATGCCATAAGGTATTAAGTCCGCCCTTTATATCCCTTAGTATAAGGTATATAATAAAGATTCAATAAATAAATAAATTTATTTTGTACAATTTTTGAATGAATTTTTATAGAACCAGCATGGTGCCGATCACCTCATTCCCAGGGGCTATTTTCATTAATGTATTCATTTATATTATAATAACCCTTTTTGTACAATTGTTTTTTAATAAAAAAATTTAACTTGTTTTGTACATTTTCTGGGATTTTGTTGTAAAAGCGAATACGTTGCCCCATAAATGTATTATTAACTCTGTGGAGTCTAGTAACTGGTATTACAATCATATGTTTGTTCCTAGTGTTTAAAGTATAAACATCTTTATTCTTATGAAAGCTATTTATGTTTTTATGTACATACATTACATTTTCATAAATATATTGCGAAGCCAAAGTTAATATGTTTATTTCCTTAAATTTACCAAGGGACTCTTTACAATTTAAGTTATAAATCGCCCGTACGGCTCTCTTTTGCAAAACAAATATGACTTCAATATCAGTTGCATTACCTCATAGTAATATTCCATAAGACATTACGCTATGAAAGTAACTAAAATAAACTAATCTAGCTGTCTCAACATTGGTAAGACTTCTAATCTTTCTTACAGAATATGCTGCAGAACTAAGTCTGACTGTTAATTTAGATATATCCCCATTTAAGCTTCGCGTCAATAGTAATACCAATAAAAACAGTGCTGACTGTGATGCTGATGCCCATCTCCTGTTTCAGTGGCCTGTCGCCTCTTACGCCACCAACGATCTGATGATATAGAGTATCGAATTCCCTAACGCGACCGCTACACGTCAGATGATGAGAATATGAGGTATCAATTAATTTAACTGCCAAATTGTAAAAACCTATTTTAAGAGTAGATTGCTTAATTTCTAAGACCTTTGGGAGTTACGAAATCGGAAAGAGATTAGAAACCTTTGCATATTATCTTTTACTTATTAAAACCCCCTAAAGCAGATTTCAATAGTCCCTGAAGCAAGTTTGTCAAATAACTGGATATAAGGGCGTTCCAGCAACATGCGATTTTTTGGTCGGAGCGACAATAGCTTCCGTTGTGTATACGACCGACGCTGCAACTAGTTATTCTTTACTCCATCACTGTCAATCTCTACTGTAAGTACTTCTTTGCTTGTCATTAGTTGCTTTTTGAACGAAATACATCTAATTATCAACATATGTAAATAAAATTGAAGCATCTGTATGTAATATCGAAATGAATGCCTTATATTTAGCTAAGGTTGTTTATTATTTGGAAGCCAATAAGACATGTATAACCATTTTTAAATCCTGTCCGGCCTAATGTTCGCAATGGCTTCTCTATCTTCTGTTGCAATGAAACTTCACGTACAGATAGAGAGCAATACCAGGAGTGATTAAGACAGTTTTTTAAACGAAAAATTCATAAAATAAATGGTCTTTCATTATGTTACAACTAAATGTCGCTACATTAATAGATTCTACCCAGGTGAGTTAAGAGTTTTAATATGTAAATACCTCCCTAGTTAGGTAATAAGAATTGAAAGTTCTGCTTTATGGAGCCAAGCCATTGGAAAATATAAATACTACATTGTGTTATATTCTCCAATAAATATTTTACGATCAAGTTTTAGGGAATTTTATGACATATAACAGAATCTAGGACAAAACGAAAATACATAAACTCCAACAAGTAGATATACCAATATTTGCGTGTTGTATCAGATGCAAAAAAACTTCACGAGCGGCGTTACCGACAGAACCGTGTAAGTCGTGCGATCTTTAGTCGCAAATCGCGGGTTCCTAGCTGGAAATAATCGTTGCGAGTTTTTCCCAACCGTAGTAGTGCGTCGCTAGCGGTGTCGTAAAGACCTTACGCAACTATCCTGCTGTACGTCCCGTCAATGTCATGGACGATGCACTATGAAATACGACAATGAATAGGTTTGACATACGTCAGTAATTGTTTGAGGTTGATTTAGGTCGTCTTGTAGTAGTGAGGAACCCAAGTGGCTAGCTCAAGGTGTAGAGCCAGTTCGAGGTGGCCGCTCCGAGTGGGCTCGCGTTCCGCCGCAACCGAGGTGGAGGTCGCGGAGAAAGAGGAGTGTTGAAATGGCAAAGCAGCACTAGCACCTATCCTCCGCGACTCTGGCGAGGCCGTATCGTTGATCGGGGGGATGGTATTGTGAGGCGCCGCTCTTCCTACCCTCCGCGGGCGACTTTTAGTTGGCAGTGGAGCCAGAGACCAGATCCACCGCTGAGGTCAGGAAGGCTAGTGCTGCCGAGTGCTCGTTTTTCCTAGCCTATGGCCTCCGCACATCGGACATGGGGGGTGTGGTTGGACCCTATGGAGGAAGGCGCGCCTGATGTTCTGGTGCGCCTTGCCTGAAGAGGAGAAGAGGGAGGAAAATACCTCTTTCGAGAAGAGGCAGCCGGCGCCAGTGGGGTTGCTGATGTGTGCGAGAACGTTACCGCAGCTTTGCTAATATGCGGCGAAGGTGGAGGTCCATGGAATTTTAGTTATAAGGTAGGGATTTTTCCAAGTTATAAAAAAACATAGGTATATATTTGGCGTATTCCTCTTTTGAACTATTTCTAAATTGCACTGGTAAAATGTTTTATTCTTTAAGGGCTTTCCCGTAGCAAATTGAAATTTGGCATCTAAGTTATAAAGACGGTTCTCTAAATATAGGTATGAGGTTAGAATATTGTCAGTTTGTTTATTGTTCTAAGCCAGTGCTAGACTACTATTTTCATCTGATGTGGTAGATGAAGTGTTGGTGATTCAGCCGAAAATGGTAAGATGCGCTAACTTACCTCAAGAAAAGCCTAATCACTCTTGTCTGATAGAAAGGCGGATGTTGGCAAATAATTCCACTCCTTTCCTTTACGCATGACGAAAGACGAAACAAACCGTTTAGTCCGAATGGGTACTTTCATAAAAAATGTGACAAATAGTTACCTGGTAGCTTTGGACTCAACGGAAAGGGGTGCTATGAATCTTATCGGTGATCCGAATCAGGTTAAAACCATTTCACCAGTGTCGAACACAGGCTCAAAGTAGGCAGCCTCACAGTTTTCTTTTGCATAATTTAACTTCCTCTCTCTCTCTCTTCCACCATCGGACAACATCTCTACGGACAAATCTATGTATATTAAAAGAGCCTCAAATGAAAGTGTGACGAAGATTGTAAAAAAACCTTAAAATCAATAAAGCTGTCGACATACAATCTATCTGTGATAAGATGATGGGAATTATTGTTAAATTAATAAATAATAGTAAACAAAGTATCCAGATGAATTAAAAATAGGTATAGTGAGACAGATATATAAAAAGGTCAGGTCACAGTGATTATGCCAACTATAGACCAATTACTATCCTACCAGTATTTGACAAAATAGTAGATTTACATTAAAAATAACATCTTATCAAATTCACAATACGGTTTTAGAGCTAACAAATCTACCTCTAAACTGCTGTCAAAATTTACAAATGATGTAAACAAATTTCTAGATGACAGAAACCACGTAATTCTGTTATTCATAGACTTCAGCAAAGCGTTTGATACGATTCGACACGATATTCTCTTAACAAAACTAGAGAATACCCGTGTACGCGGATTAATTTTAGATTGGTTAAAAGATTACCTCAATAATCACAAATATAAAGTTAAAATTTGTGATGAAGTCAGCGACGCTATCGATGTTACTGAAGGAACAGCTCAAGGGTCGGTGCTTGCTTACCTTTGCACTATTTAGCATACGTCAACGATATGGAGCATTTTGTCATCCATTGTTCCGTTTATCAATACGCAGATGACACGTGCCTTTTAGCGGCCAGCAAAGATCTAAAAGAAGCATCTAAATGGCTGCAGCAGGATTTTACACAGGTATCCAAATGGTCACATGATGCGGGACTTGTCTTGAATGCAAATAAAATCAAAGTGATTCACGTTCCCTCAAGCTATCTAAAACACAACACGTATTTTAAGATCGTTGCTCTCAGTCACAAATGTCTGCACAAATCAACTTCATCTAACGCTTGTAAATGTGAGGCAATAGAACAAGTAACGCATCACATAAACTTAGGAATAATTATAAACAATAGATTTAGCTGGAGATTTTACATAGATTCTCTCTGTGAGAAGTTACAAGCTATACTGGCTAAATTCTATATCTTAAAACCTAAAGTACCGTATAAAATCCTACTAAATATATATAAAGCCTTAGCTCAGTTAATTATATCATACGGAATCTCAAGTTCGTCCATCCTTTAAATCATATACTGAAAAATATATAAACTACAGCTAAGATTACTTAAACTTATTGTACCCCAAAAAATAATACAAGAATATAAAGAAAACGTATTAGACATTTTTAATTACTGTAATCTAACCTATGTAGATGAAACTATTAATTGAACAATTCAATAATAAAAGCATCCAAGTACCCGTATCTCATAAAGTAATTACAAGAAATATTACCAAACAAAAATTAATTGTGCCTAGGATCTCAAATTACTATGGTAGGTGAACTATTGAATTTTTAATCCCAATTCTTATAAAAACATCCCGCAAAACATTAAAAAAGATTTAAACACAAAAAACTATAAACAAAAACTCAAAAATTATTATTACGATAATATAAAGAACTTCGTCTTATAAAATCAATCATAGTTATAATTTAGTTTGTATAGTACAATACAATACAATACAATACTCTTTATTGCACACACAATAATAAAAAGAACAACAAACTTAAATTGATAAATTTATGTACAATTAGGTGGCCTTATCGCTAAACAGCGATCTCTTCCAGGCAAACCTTGGTGAAGGAGATCTTTTACATACAAAAATATAGAAGTGTGCATAAATAGTAGTTAAAAATCATGCATAACACATAAAATATATATATATATATATATATATATATATATATATATATATATATATATATATATATATATATATATATATATATATATATATACATAATCATACACATATATACATATCCATACACATACATATTTATACATATACATATTTATGAATATTTTTGTAACACATAGCTACACATTATATACATACCATATATACACAAACCTTATCAAGTATAGTAGATATGATAATGAAATATATTAAGTAGAACACATATTTAAATAATAATTTTTAACCAGTTTTTTGAAAGACTCAATTGTTTGGGCTTTCTTAATTGTTAAAGGAAGCGAGTTCCATAATTTAATTGCTTTGACACAAAAGGAAGAATTAAAAAATTTTGAATTGTGAGCAGGCATTCGCAAAATAAGCTTATCGGATAATCTGGAATGATCTTTATCTGCACCCGCAAACTCAAATTTTTCCTTTAAATACTTCGGTGTTTTAGGATCAAATAGTACACAGTACAGTTGAGATAGAATGTGAGTATTCCGACGAAGTCTGATAGAAAGCCACTTGAGCTTAGTACGAAACTCAGAAACATGATCATATTTGCGGAGGCCAAATATGAACCTAATAGCGAAATTCTGAAGACGCTCAAGTTTATTTAATTGATCCTCTGTAAGATTAGAATAGCATACATCAGCATAATCAAGGATAGGGAGTAACAAGGACTGTGCCAGTAAAATTCTAGTAGGAATCGGTAATGAGTTACGCAAACGTCGTAAGGAAGATGATGCCGCGAACATCTTTCTACTGGACTCTTTAATATGTAGGGACCAAGAAAGATTTTGATCAATGTGTAATCCTAGGTCTTTTACAGATTTGCTAAAAGGTATCACAACACCATCAATAACAATAGGTGGTAGGTTATCCCAACAAATTCTGGAAATTACAGTACTATTTCCAACAATAATGGCTTGGGTCTTATTGGGATTTAAATTGAGCCCGAACGACCTGCTCCAATCATGTATTGCAGCAAGATTCACATTAGTGTCATTGATGGCATTGGGAAGGTTCTGGAGTGATGTATGGGAGTATACTTGAAGATCATCTGCATACAAATGGTAGAGAGAAGAAATTCGTGAAGTAACAGAATTAATAAACACCGAAAAAAGGAGAGGAGACAACACGCCACCTTGTGGTACACCAGCAGTTAGTTCACACCACGAAGATGTGGCACCCCCTACCATAACCCGCTGCCGGCGGCCACGCAAATAGCTTTGAAACCATTCAATTGCCGCTGGAGATATGTTAATAGAGCGTAGCAGACTCAGCAATACATCAAAATCGACGGTGTTAAAAGCATTACTGAAATCCAGTAGCGTAAGTAATGTGAGCTGCTTTTGGTCCTTTTGGTATAATAGTGAAACAGCCTGTATAAAGTTAAGTAGTTTGCGCTGCCTAATAGAACCGGTTCGTCGAACTGTCTCAGGTGAGAATTGCAAATGGGTGCTTACCACTTACACAATAAAGAAGGCGTATTTATATGTATATACATTTTTTTAAACTTTTAGTAAATTAATTAAATATTTATGTAAAGCAGTGCGTTAGTTGCGAATGTGAGTACCAATCATCATCATCATCATCATCATCACAGCCCTTCACAAGTCCACTGCTGAACATAGGCCTCCCCCAAGTAATGCCACAAAGCACGGTCCTGAGCCACCTGCATCCATCGACTTCCTGCATATCTTACCAGGTCGTCACTCCATCTAGTGGGGGTCGCCCTACACTACGCCTACCGTTACGAGGCTGCCACTCGAGAACCTTTCTTCCCCATCGGTTATCGGTTCTTCGAGCTATATGGCCGGCCCATTGCCACTTCAGCTTACTAATCCGTTGGGCTATGTCGGTCACTCTGGTTTTACTGCGGATATCCTCATTTCTGAGTCTATCACGCAGAGAAACTCCGAGCATAGCCCTCTCCATAGCTCGCTGAGCGACCTTGAGCGTCCTCATACGGCCAGCAGTGAAGGACCACGTCTCTGATCCGTAAGTCATCACTGGCAACACGCACTGGTTGTACACTTTAGTTTTCAGAGATTGAGGTATACCTGTGAGTACCAATACAAACCATTAATGGTTTAATGGTACAAATCAAGCAAAAATGTAAGAATAATTTTGATAAATAAATTAAAAAAGCCAGACGATCGGCCTTTCTGGAATCTTTCGTTGTCGACTTACAACGCACTAAAACAACGGTTTGCTTTATCGTTCATTACAGCAAAGAAATTAATTAAGTTACCAGCATCTGTCTACCTACCCGACTACAATTCAAAGAGTCAATAGCCTTTTGTTAAGTCAGTGCACTTTCAGTCGAATAATATTCCGTCAAGCATTGCCTTAGAATAGGAAAAAAAATCATTGTGTGTGTGCGCTAACAACAAATACAATCATCATCATCATTGTTATAATTTTTTTTCCATTGTCAGACTATCAAAAGCCAACTAGTGAACATAGGCCTCCCCCATAGAATGCTTCATAGGGGGGAGGGGGTATTTGTCATAGTTGCCACGCTTGGCAGGCGGGTTGGCAACCGCAGTGTTTTATATTTTTGACGTTATTGCGAAGATGCTGCTGCGCTTCACATGGTTTGTTTCTCTTTGTAGGCTCTTACGACACCAACGGAACGATATGGAGTCGTGGATATTCTCACACTGCCACTACATATTCATTACTGATTTATATATTCAATATGATTCAAAATTCATATTCTGAATTTTTTGTTTTATATACAGAAATATCAGTTATGACCCTTTTATGAGCTCTTAGAAGCACCATAGATGTCGCAAGAAACATTTTATACGTCGGAGAGGGAGAATTGAAAGTAAAAAATAGTCTAAATTCTATATTTCTGCAAATATTTTTTTAAGTTAAGGCATTTTAAGCCATGAATTACGTCGGCTCTGAAAGGTCGGGCACTCAACCCGGTTCGAGGCATTGCAACGCATGCCGCGAAAGTGCGGCGTTCAACACACGGTCACATTCTACATTTTCAGCCCGGAAATTCTTGTGGTCTCCGGTAGATGGCGCTATCACCGTTAAATATTTATACGAGTTTCGTTTAATGCTATTACTTTTTTTAAAAATTTGTTTAAAAAAATACATTGCATAGTTTTTACTTTGTCGTTTATTACGTAATAGGTGTATTATTTGTGGTCACTTAATCGTCTCCATACTTTGTCAAAATATTTTTCAAGTCGCATTTGAGTTTTTAGGTTAAAAAATTAATAAGGACAATACAACAACAGTGTTCAATGTTTTTACGATGGCTAAATACATATGATAATATTTTAATAGCGAATGTGGCTTACGAAATTGCTTACGGTCGCAATAAAACACGTTGAAGGTGCATTAGGACACACGCGGGGTAACAACGTAATAAACCCCCTATATAACTGCGGGGGTCAATTCAACCCCGCTTATAACGGTGGGGTCAGCACGACCTAGTATTATACCGGAGCAATAAATAATATTTCTCATTACAGAGGGCGAGCAAGTTGCGATAGGAATCATGTTGTAATCAGCTTTCGAAACAGGTGAAAATGACTTTTTGCGACACCAATTTTGTTTTTTTGTTTACGTGGTAGAACACGCTACAGCTCATAAAATAGCAGTATATTGTGTACGGTAAACGACGAGAATCGGTGACGAATTTTACTGATAAGGAGACATTCTGTCTTAGTTTTCAGATTTGTCAACACTCAATGCAGTATCAGCATTTAGATTCGAAATCGAGGTTACACTTATATCAAGCTTTGGGCCACAACGTTCACTTACTGCCAGCACAGAATAAACAATAGTACTACCAGTTGAACTGTG